GCACCGCCCGTGGTCATCTTTAAAATAGACTACCCTTAAATCACGTCTATCCAATTAGTTCACTTCGATGTCTCCTGCGAGACATAGCACGGATCGCCGATACGTCAAGTTTCTCTAGTCAAGATATATATACATCTATATATATATATATATATATATATATATATATATATATACATATGTACACTAGTTCTTGCTCCCTGACTTATATACGCACGCGTGAGCACGCAAATATTCGCATCTTCTCTCGGGGCATAGACAGCCCACGCGTTGTCTACCGGAATATATCAGTGGTTCTTACTTTGAAATTCAGAATAATTTCTATTCATTTCTAATATCCTTATTATTATTTATTTATTTATTTTTTTATTTATTATTTTTTTCTTTTTCTTTTTAAGCGATCGTTAATAAACGTATCTTTAAATTATTGGAAAGTCTTTCAATGATTTTTAAAATTCAATTAATATCACCTTTATTAAATGTTCAATTTATTTGCAATAATTCTAATAAATAATATAAGATCTGATAAAGAAACAAAATATTGAATACGAACACTTCAATATCTTATATGAAAGTGTAAAGAGAAAAAAGTTAAGAACCACTGATACATATCTACGGTCGTAGGCTATAATTCTTTGCGAAGAAAAAGAAGAGACATATATATATATATATATATATATATATATATATATATATATATATAAAGAGAGAGAGAGAGAGAGAGAGAGAGAGAGAGAGAGAGAGAGAAAGAAAAAAGAAATAAATATATAAAAAAAATAAACGACAACGAGAGTGATACCGGAGCTTCGTATACTTGTGAGATAAGATTGACAGTTTTGAAAACGAATTATAAAGCTTCCTCTATTGGTTGCTGTGCGATCGCTCCGTGAACTCGTGCCACTTCATTTTCCTACCGGCACTCCTCCGCTTGAAACTCGCTTCTATCGATATCTACGTCCATATAGATTGCTATACGAGGAGAACTGCTGGCAATTAATTAAGCGCTCACTCTGGACGCGTAATACGGGACTGTCCGGTTAAGTTTACCGTCCAATACCGGTGATGAGGTAGCGTCACGGTGATTGGTAAAAGAAAAAGAAAAAAAAAAAGAAAAAAAAAAGAAAAAAAAAAGAAAAATAATAAAAATGGTAAAGAAAGAAAAATAAAAAATCTGAAGAAAGAGAAAGAAAGTGGGTGGGGGAAAAAGAGAGAGAGAGAGAGAGAGAGAAAGACATTGAGACAGAGAGACGCGATTTATCAGAAATCTCATAAGAGAACGATTCTTACTCGACAGTCTTACTTACTTCGACCCGTATCTATAACTTAACGTTAAAATAGTGCTCATTGCTTCGAGGCTGATCGATATATCCGGTTATTACTATCACTCCGGTTAAATAGATCTTCTGATACGATCTAATGTCTGTACGACGAATGTATAATATCATAATTCGTTCGAGCCTTCATTCTTTGAAATTTCTAGAATAGACGTATGGATCAATCATTAGAAAAATTTAACCACGTGGATATATCGGAGTATCAATTTTGTTGTACGAACGAAAATACATTTTCTTTTTTTTCTTTAATATTTTACATTCATATTACGATATAGGATAAAAATCAAGATTTATGATGACATTTTAACGTCTAAACAAAAGAAAAACAGGGAAAAGAGAGAGAGAGAGAGAGAGAGAGAGAGAGAGAGAGAGAGAGAGAGAGAGAGAGAGAGAGAGAAGAAAAAAAGGAAAAGAAGAAAGTAGATCAAAGATCTAAATCTTTCGCGTGTTAATATTCAACAAAAGTATATGAAAAATAAGATAGCTATATAAAAATTTATAAATAGAGTTGGCGATAGTCCCATCTGTGTATATCCCTTCTAATCTATTCAAGTGACGCGAGGATGCTCAACGTAATTGGTTCAATCCCGTCCAACGAGAATGAGTTAGCAACAAAGATGCAAAAGCACGTTGGATGGGTGCATCAGCATTCGAGAAAAGAGAAGGTGGCTTTCGTGATTACCGGCGCCGGAAGGACGATTTATTTTCTGAATATATTATACTCACGATACTCTTGGAAGATTAGAGATCTTGTCAACTTTCTTGAGGCAATGGTATCGATGGATCATATTCATTGTGCTTTAATTTTTATCTTTCGAATTCTATATCTACTCAATCCCTCATTCTCTCTCTCTCTCTCTCTCTCTCTCTCTCTCTCTCTTTCTCTCTCTCTCTTTCATTCTCTTTCGAATTATTAGCATTGATACCTACTACTCGATAAAATGTATAAAGATATTATAATATATAATTAATATTTAATTATTATAATATTATAATACTATATATGCAATATCTTCCTCTTTATATATATATATATATATATATAAATAAATTTATATTATTTATTAAATAATACAATAATAGATAACGATACACGTTAATAAATGATAAAACAGATTAAAATCGATCATTTTAATAAGATCATATTAAATCATGCGGAAATCAGATTGGAATTTCTACGGAAGCTTGCAAAATCATTCATTTTATTTTATTTTATATATTTATTTATTTTTCTTCTTCATTTCTTTTTCTTTTCTTTTTTTTTTTTTTCTTTTTTTTTCTTTTTCCTTTTTCTATCTTCCGGAGGCTAAAAGAACTTTAGAAGAAATCATCGTTCTTGTAGCGTAGAAACGAGTTATCTTAGTGAAATGGAATTGCCTTAACTGGCCGGGGTAATTGAGTTGGGTGCGTTCGATCGGTTAATATTCCGCTCGTATTTCAATGCGTTTATTAATCGTCCAACGGTGGCAACTGCAACACGCAACCCTCGTTCTTCGCTTTATAATACCTCGGATGCGTGCGAAGAAAAGAAGAAACGGATTTATTACATCTGCTAATCCCCATCGTTCGTTTCTCTCTATAGGGTGTTCCTACAAATAAAATTTCTTCGACCACCCTATATCTTGATCGATATTTTTCCTTGAAAAAAATCGAACACTTGTCTTTTTGCTATTTCTATGATAAATTTATATATATATATATATATATATATATATATATATATATATAAGTAGAAGGAACACACGGGCGGGGAGAGTATATTTTAATACAATTATTGCATGTTACGTTAAATAATAATTAATTTTCTCATTCCCAAATTATATGTACCTTCGTCAAATCATTTTTAATGCAAATAAATTGCATGGATTTATAAACACTATGTACAAGCTATTTCGTCCTCGTTTGCGTCCGGATATTCTTGTCAGGGAGATCCTCCATCAGGTTATCCAAGGATCGCGTGCAGTGTACGTAAGGATTCGTACATCCCCATCAATTATGAAAACGATCGAGAGAAAGAGATAGAGGTAGATAGAAATAGATAGATAGAGATAGAGAGAGAGAAAAGAGAGAGAGAGAGAGAGAGAGAGAGAGAGAGAGAGAGAGAGAACGAGAGAAAGAGAATGGAACGATCTTGAGCGCTAATTGGCTTGAATTACAGAAATGCGCATATAGAAAAGTCATTAAATACGTACGACGAATGATGAAAGTACGTAGAAGAATATTTTTACTCTTTTTTTCTTTTTTCATCTTGCCTCGGAATTTTCTTATCGCATCATCAAAAATAATCGAGAAGGAGCAAAAGCAAGGAATATCACTTCTTTTAAAAACTTTCTTGTAATATAACAGTGACAATAATAATAATAATAATAATAATAATAATAATAATAATAATAATAATAATAATAATAATAATAATAATAATAATAATAATAATAATGATAATAATAATAATAATAATAATGATAATAATAATAATAATAATAATAATAATAATAATAATAATAATAATAATAACAACAATAATATTACGTAATAGATAATAACGATAATTAATCAATTATTTATTGATCATCTTAACGTTAGTTAATCCCCGTCAATTTTTATTTACATTTGTTAGTTACATTGTCCATTTACATTCTCTCTCTTTCTCTCTTCCTCTCTATCTCTTTTTCTCTCTCTCTCTCTCTCTCTCTCTCTCTCTCTCTCTCTCTCTTTCATCCTATATTCTTCCCTATAGCAATTAAATTCCTTTGTCCCATTAGGATATCGTATCGGCTAATTCAAGTATTTTGTAAGAGGAGGACCGGTTTAATGAGCGTAAAAGGCTGAGATGTACGGTTGAAGAAATACGTTCGGAAAAGAGAGGGAAAAGAAAGAAAAAGACAGACAGACAGACAGACAGACAGACAGATAAACAGACAGAGAAAAGAAAGAGAGAGAGAAAAAAAGAAAAATCCGATTCTTCTTTCGTTTCTCGTTCGGTCCATTCTCTTTGCCGTCAGAAAAGTCGACTATAAACGATTGTCGAGAATCTTTTATTATCGGCGTCCTCTTTTTTCGGAGGTTATCGAACATAGGAGAGTGCTTTCATCAATAGGTCATACTACTTACTCTCGATGAGAGTTTGTTTCTTCATCTTCCTCTCCTTTCCTTACCTCTTCCTCATTCTTTTTTTTTTTTATATATACTATATCTATTTAATTTACTTTGTTATCTATTTAAGATAAACAAGTATACTTGTTTATATATTTTTTAATATTTTTATTTTATCTTATTTTATTTTATTTTATTTTTTTCTTTTTGCTTTTTTGTAAAAAGAGCTCGCATACCGTGACGAAATATCCAAGCGATGATTTTAACGAGGGCAACCTGAATATGTTGGATGGAAGAAGCTGTAGGGGGCAAGGTACCACATTCGTTTCGATCTCTCATATAAAATCTATGATAGACGAATACATAGAGATTCCTACAGATAAGTATATATAAATATATATATATATATATATATATATATATATATATATATATCTTTCTCTTTCTCTCTCTCCGTCTGTCTGTCCGTTTCTGTCTGTATGCATATGTATATGTACGTATATATATATATATATATATATATATATATATATATGTGCTATTATATTCTATGAAAAAAAAATGGATACTCACCGTTGTCCCAAGCGGCTTCTTTAGTTCTAAGAAGAGCAGCCAATCCAATGTTATCTTTGGGCATAACTCTGTTCAGCATATTGTCCGAACCTTCGGCGTTTGCCATGGCCAATTGATTGAATTCGACTAAATGCTCCTTTATCAAAGTGAATCTGTAAGGAAAAGGAAAAAAAGAGAAAGGAAGAAATTAAATGAGTAAAAAAAAAGTTAATGTATAAATAGATTGGATAAAGATTCTTTATCGTTTCTCCATTCAACGATCTGTATTCTTTCGTTGTCATAAGTTTTCGTAATGGTTGACACGACTCAATTTCCCTGTCGCGTTCGCAAGAAAATCTCGTTGTCGTTATCGTCGTCGTTGTCGTCGTCGTCGTCGTCGTCGTCGTCATCGTCTTGGTCGTCATCGGTATACGATAGGTGGTGCCGATTTTTGTCGTGGAAAAACTCTCGTAGGAAGGCGTATCACGTATGGCATGCCGAGTAGAGCCTTTCTTTCGCCGATATGTGTGGCACGTATAGTAGAGAGAAATATATTCTTCACCGAATCCCCATTACGAGCCATCATCCCCCGTCCCCTCTATCAGGCCGTTACCCGTAAACAAGATTGAATCAACGTCACCCGCAGTTGCACAACAGATGTCGTGCCGAGATTGTATAAATACTCTCTCGGTAAGATAAAGGTAGAAAGAGAAAGAGAGAGGTAGAAAGAGTTAGTGAGAGAGAGAGAGAGAGAGAGAGAGAGAGAGAGGGAGAGGGAGAGGAAGAGAAAGAGAGAAAGAACCTGTGCTCTTGAAGAAGCTCAACGTAAATTGTACATTGGAGAAAATGGAAATTCTTTATTGGAAAGAAAGGAAGACAAAAGGAAAGAAAAAAGAGAGAAAGGGCAAAGACAAAAGATAAAAAATATATGATAAAAATGATGGGAAACAAGATGAACGTAGTCAGAGATTAATAAGACAATTTTCTTTACGCGATGGCATTCTATTCTATTTTTTCATTTTTTCCACCCCTTCTATCATTACTATTATTATTATTATTATATTTAAATATTATATAGAATGAGATGTTTTTTTTTAAGAAAATTCTGTGGGCGTAATATTATATTTATAAAAAAAAAAAAAAAAAAAAAAAAAAAAATATTTCTTCTGCGAAAAAATAGTGCGGACAAGTTGACAAGTTGGATTTCATTTTTCATTTTATTTTTTCTCCTCGATTATTGTCATCGCGTTCATTAAACCTCATAGGATTAAGGCCATACGCAAGAAAAGAGCATAAACGGATTCTTGTCCTAGCTTTTAAAAATGAAGCCGCTTATATATATATATATAATCTGTGCGTTAGCTGTTAACAGAGGCCATTTGTGCACCGCACCATTTCTGTCTCGTATCTTGTTATCTTCCCGGAGATTCGAGTCCGAGCTTGCGTAATATTTTCCCGAGATGCGTTTGCGCACATTTAAGATACTGCAAATGGAAAACTACCGTCCACTGTCGTTCAACGAAAATTTCTTTCTCGTATTACGTTCTAGCGACGAAAACGTGAGAGAGAGAGAGAGAGAGATAGATTTTTATGAATTATTTATAAAAATAAAGAGGAAAGGGGGAAGGGGTAGGGTGGGACGGAAAAAAACGGAAAAAAGATACCACGCGAACAGTATCTCCTTAATTTTTTTTCCCTTGCTATTCTTTCCTTTCTAATTTTCTTTTGTTATTTTTATTATTTTTTCATTTCTTCCCTTCATTTCTCTTTTCTTTCCTTTTCTTCTTTTCTCTTATTTTTTCTTTTTCTTTCTCTTTTCTCTTTTTTTTTTTTTATTTTTCTTCCTTTAATCGTCAACGATTACTTTCGTTAAGAGTAACCGCATAGTATCGTTTTTCTTACGACATGTACTTACCGGAAATAAAGTTGGGTTGGAAATGGCAGAAAAGAAACTTGGAACGATACGTTCACCGCGAAAAGAAGAATAAAAGGAATAAGAGAAGAGAAAGAAATAGAGGAGAGTAAGAGGAAGAAAGAGAAGGGGGTCGGAAGCAAGAAGAAGCACGACCTCGTGGGCCACGACGCGAGTCAGAAGTATCGACGTTTCCGGAGTATCGTCCAGCCGCTCATCCGTTCGAAAACTTTCGAATCACGAGCAGGCACGCCTTAGCAAGACACGAGTATTACTTCGAGAAGCTCTCTTTCTCTTTCCCTCTATCCAATCTTTCCCTCTTTCGTTCTCTTTTCTTTCCGTCCCCTATTTCTTCTTACCGAACTAATACGAAAGTTTGACGGAGAGTAGTTGGGGAACAAATATTTCGTTGGATCTTCCAAGTGCAATAAACCGAGCCGACGAAGTAGCGAAGAATGGTGATACGTGCTTTTGGCGAACGGACTCGATTATTCGTGTGTGAGAACGAAAAAGAGAGAGAAAGAGAAAGAGAGAGAAAGAGAAAGAGAAAGAGAGAGAGAGAGAGAGAGAGAAAAGATCGAAACCAATTCGTTCTATCGTGCCCTCGAGTCTATTTGGAAGCCAATCGCTCTAGTCGTGTACCAACCTACTATGTGTATATATCTATATATATATATATATACATATATATGTATATATATATATATATATATGTGTGTGTGTATGTATATTCGATAACGTTTCCATTCGAGGCTAATCGTTCAAAGGTCGAGAGTAGGGCAGTTAGGTTTGGAACTCGTTCGAGGAAATATTCGCAAATTATTCCGTCTGCTTTTCAAAAGCGTTGGTTTATACCTGTATACATATAACATGTAACATGGGTGCACACGGCAAGGATGTAGGTCACATCCGAAAGCTTTGTCATTTGGCTGACCTTAATATCGTCATAGAAACGTCTGTTCCACGGAGCATTTATGATGTCAGAGTATAAAGGGACGTTATATCGCTCGACATATGTATATATCTACGTTAGAGCGAATTAATCGTTTCAATTCTCTCTCTCTCTCTCTCTCTCTCTCTCTCTCTCTCTCTCTCTCTTTCGATAGCCAGCGTCATTTCATCTACTCTAACATATATATTACTCTATTATATTGTATGTCAAAATTCAGATAATCGAGAATATCAAGATTTTCTTGTTAAAATGATACAACAAGATTTTCTTTCAATATTTCGTTCGAGACCATATCGTTGTTCCCTTCAAGTTCCTTTATCTTATCCTTTATGTCGTCATATCTTCGTATAGTAAAAAGCGTGTCACGTTACTCGACTTCTTTCGTTTGTCTTTCCGCGAAAAAACGGAAATGCGTAGACGTTATGCAAGAGGATCGCGAGATACATCTGTTGCTACTGCTACTGCTGTTGTTCCTGCTGCTGCTGCTGCTGCTGCTGCTGCTGCTGCTGCTACTCCTGCTGCTGCCATAGGTGCTGTAGCTACCTCTCGTGGTAGGTAACTCAGTTTGTGTCTTCGTAAATTGGATGTACTACTAAGGTGAAAATGCAAATTTTCTCTCTCGCTGTCCGCGTTGATATTTGTTCAAGTGTCGAGGGAAACGTTACTACGAAGCGACTACGACATTCGTTCGCTTGCCGCTTTATCTCGACGAAATTTGCATTATCTTGTCGTCGCTCCGTTTGTCCCGACGTCATATATAGCTCTCAGTTTTAAACGACTTATGCGAGCTCGCGTTAAATATTGTCATGGATATATTTCGATGTCTTCTCGTTAAGTCACTTTGTCAACGTGAATCACAACGACACATCGGTGATGTGTCAAGGGTAAAGAAAGTTTGATTAAAAAAGTTGACCGTCTCTCTCTCTCTCTCTCTCTCTCCGACCCCCACCATCTTCTATCGTTTTTTTGTTCGACTATTTCAAATGAGAAACACGTATTTTCTCTTTTCGTTCTTTCATTATTTCGAACCTACTTACCGAATATCACCGAAGTAAGAAGTAAAAGTTTGGATAAAAATAATTAACTTATATGTATATATATATATATATATAAATATTTATAATACTTACTTGGCTGTTCTGTAAAAAATAGCACAACCGTCGACGTACTTCCTGTCGTTCTCGGCCATTGTCTTTGCTCGCGATTTCGGTGAGAAGATGCCGTCGTAACCGTCGTGCTTTAGCTCAGGCAGGAAGAAATTATAGAATTGGTCCGTCTCGACCTCCTGCAAGCTGATGATGTCTGCGGCATAATGCCGTATTTCATCGAGGATTCCCTTTTTCCGATATTCCCAATCGAGGGCCCAGCTTGGACAATAACCGTACATTTGCCGTGTCGCGTACTTGTCGCACAGCACGTTGTAACACATTACCGTAAATATACCTATAACAATAAACAAGAATTTTTATCGCTCGCTTTTATTCAAGTTACCTAGTCGCTGCCACCGTCTAGCCAGCGCTAGCGCCATTGCCACTGCCATGACAATTTTTTTCATTACTATGATATATACTTATGGGTAGGGATGGATATATATATATCTATATATATGTATGTATGTGTATAGGGATATATGTGGATAAATACATATGCTTACATATAACCCAAGCTCTTCTTGTTCTCTCTCGACAAAGTCGAAGGAGGAGGACCGTTATGAAACGGTAGGACATTTCGTATCTCGATTTATTGTCCTATCGATTTATCGTCGTCAAGTAGAAGAACCGGTTGCATTTACAAGCTCTAAGATATATATATATATATATATATATATATATATATATATATGTCAAGATATTTGCAACTTCGAATCTTGTATGAAAGTAATATAAAGATTATTAATATTAGTTCATAATTTTCACAAAATTTTACGAGAAAAGATCGTCGTGACGAAGGAACAATGGCCACTTCTTTAAATATAAATAATATAACTAGAGTTAACGTTAATAATGTATTATATTAGCCCTCCTATTAAGCAGCTTTGAATCGCTTTCATCGATTAAGATCGTTCCTGCTGCCGGTGATGCTGTTGTTGATGCTGTGGTATGGTCGTTAATCAACGACAATGTCGTATGCAATTGATATCGAGTTAATCATTCCACGTCCTACCTATCGCGTGAGAAACCGATTGAATCGGAGTCTCTATATTGGAGGTACTTCGATCACGATGAAATTACCGATCCAGAAGAATCGATCGATCGTTCTCATTCCGATCGATCGCGTCAATGTTCGTTAAGCGTTCACGATCTGACTTTTTAAAGATAAAATCTTATAAGATACAAGAGGAGGACTTTGTAGACACCTACTTTCGCCGTCTTAAGATACTTACGATGGATATGTAAGCATGGAGTATGTCTGTCTATACTATAAGCGTCATGGTATATGTACAATATGTATAATGTCTATCGATTAAAACGAGCAGACACCCGTGTACTTACTTACATACGTACGTCGTTTCTTACTAACATTTCTCGAATAACAAACTTGACTCCTCCGATCTACCGATTGGATAAGAAAATCAACGAGAGAAGTGAAATGTCTTCTCGGTGTCTCTCAATTTAATCATAAATTACATTTACGTTTAATTCATACTATTACGTTTGTGGTCTCACCCATACGAGTTTTTACTCGTTCTTTTTCAATAAATTTAAAAAATTTCTATTCTCGTACGATCGTTGATCGAACGGAATAATAGTAATCTTCTTTTCGTGATCAAAAAAAAAAAAAGAAAATAAAAAAAAAAATAAGAAAGAAAAAAGTGATTGAATCTAATTAATAACTTTCTAATGCGTTTAACATAAGATCCTCTTTTCACCTTTGAAGAATTTCGATCTTGAGATCGTCGTTGGCATTTTGGAAAGACTTTTATCCGTTTAATGGAAACTTCATGAAAGAGAAGAACCAAGGTAGAGAAAGAGGGTGAGAAAAGATTCGATAGTGTTAGTAATTATACAACTTAGTAGTATCGTAACGAGCAACTCACTCACTCACTCTCTCTCTCTCTCTCTCTCTCTCTCTCTCTCTCTCTCTCTCTCTCTAACACTCTCTCCTTCTCTTTTACTTTCTTTCGTCAACGATCGTGGCAAGTTCATAGCGAGATAAAACGTGCCTCTTCACGAACGACGCGATGCTATTATGGAAATTGTTAGTTTGAAGGAAAATTTTCAAAGCTGGAGGGACTTTAAAGAGAGACCCTCTTTCCAAAGTTTTTCCCTCGTGGTTTCATTGATATGATACGTATACATGGTATATATATACATATATATGTATACACATATATATATATATATATATATACGTGTATACATATGTATAGAGAAAAAGAGAGAAAGATAGAGATAAAGAGAGACGACGAAGCACGTACGAGCATTGTGGTTTCGCGTGAAATCGCAAACATCTCGTTTCTCCTCTTCATGTATTATCTTCGTCCAGCCCCGCTAATCGGCAATCGCGGAGAGTAGCGTAGCACTTTCGATATTATTCCGTCGTAGAGTTTCGATATCGAGGCCGAAGATAAACCCGGCTAATGGCGCTATACATGCCAAGGAGTTTATTATATTCCGTACGGATAATCGCTTGTTTATGATAGAAAAATGAGAGCGCTGCTAGTGGAAGCCGTTACCGTTAGATCCATTAACGAGCCTCGCTAAAGAAGATTTTCATTGTGGTTCCCCGTCGAGATACAGATCTTATCTTTTTTAACATTTTTGCACTGTTCTTGTTTTCTTTTCGTAATCTTTTTTTTTTTTTTTTTTTTTTCTTTTCATCTTCGTTCAAACAAAATTTTGTGGACATTTTAATACGACTAAGCATCGGTGTATCAAGGGAAAACAAAAGTTTTATTCTTTAAATGCGCTTTGTATCTATTTCTTCTTAATTAACTTAAAAAAATCTGAAAATCTGGGATCGTCGAAGATTCATTGGCATTTTAAAACGTCGTGAAAGTAACCCCGTGCATGCGGAATACCACTTCTCTCTAACTTTGGCATCGGCGAACGTAACTATTGCTATTATCCCTGAGAAAGTTGACGTTTATTATTGCAGATAACTACGATCGTCGTTATTACTACGTTCTACGTTGGGATAGTTACTCCACGCTATTTTACTCTTGTAATCGTTTGAACCGTAACGCAAAGTTACTGAGACGTCAAAAAAACAAAAAAAAAAAAAAACAAAAAATAATAATAATAAAAGGAAAAGAAAAGAATGAAGAAAAAACAGAAAAACGAATTTTATTCCACAGGACAATTTTTAAATTATAAATATTGATGGATTTAACATTAAATTAGAGCGTTTACATTTTACAATATTACTTCGATTTCAATTGATGACTATCATAATTAATTATTTTTCAATCGTTAAAAAATTTATTAATATTTTTATTAAATTTCATTCATAGAGATTCTTGTCTTTCGACAAGTAATTATGGTTTTTCTATTAACTATGAAACAGGAAAATAATGAAGGAAGATACAATAGAAATAGAGGGACAGAGAGAGAGAGAGAGAGAGAGAACTTTGCCGGCTAAGATATTCAATTTTTGCCATTTCATCAAAGCAGACATCTTGTTATCCGTAGGTAGGATCGTTGATGGGTTAGGTCGATGATATTACAAGAGCACGCCGCCGGCGAAAGGAATTTGTGGAAAATGAAGGAGAGATAACTTCGTTTGTTACGGATGCGTTGGACAAAAATTGATTTTGCCTTACAACGAAGTATAACGAGATATAAATTCAACGTTAATGTTACGAAATTTATTCGTTATTTTCTTTTCTATATCCTTTTTCGTCTTTTGTTTTTTCTTTATTCTTCAAAGGACAGAACAACATCCTCAATTGCTTTAAGATATTAATGTATAATAACAATAAAATTATTTTTCTTCGTATGATCGATCATAGAAAATCTTCACGAATTCGTGATTGTGATTTATTACGAGGGTTCTCAAATTTCGACTAACTGTTTACACAACGAACCAAACTATAACTACAAGTTGCTCAATATTGTTGAAACTTGTCGCCATTCTAAAAGTATCCTCTCAAAGAGAGAGAGAGAGAGAGAGAGAGAGAGAGAGAGAGAGAGAGAGAGAGAGAGAGACAGAGAGAGAGAAAGAGAGAGGAAAGAGGAATACTTGACTCGCATCTGTGCTCACGGAATTTCTCTGGAGCGACATGATATCCGCAAGTCGTAAACTAAAGTTCGAAGCAAGTGGCTCGAGGCACAGGTTCGTCGGCAAACAACATCGTCGATAGAAGCACCTACGGAAGTCTTCTCTACGTTTAGAGAAACATCCTTTAGTCATACTTTGTTAATCGATTTCATTTGTAAACTGTTCACCGTTGTTACGAAAGCACGACTCGATGTTGCAAATAACGCAACGTTAATTAATATTAATACAAACGAATGCGATATTAATTCCAAATATACGAAGGTAATATTTTAAATAAAATATCGCAATATTTTGAAAGGGTTTTTTTCTTTTTTTTTTTACCTTTTATTTTCCCCCATTTGAAACTTCCCTTATCGATCGATTGCAACGAGTACAATAGAATTATCGAATAGCGAATAGATGTTATCGCATGATTCGCTACGGAAACCGATTGTCAATGGCAGGTAGAACTCGTTCGAGCGATGCCCAGGCTCTCCATTCAAGACTAGGAATGGTATTTCCGAGGTCAACGATGCCGTGACCTACCTCAAGAGTCGCCAAACCAGTTTCAGTAAATCCGAACAAGTTACCTAATTTACGCGCCAACGTGGCGAGAAGGAGGAGATGGAAGAGGTTGCGATCTTGAATGTGGAGGGGCTGATCTTACGGGCGAGACGAATTTATGAAAAATTTATTTTCGCTTGTTTATGTTTCTCTTCAATTTTTCAATTATTTTTTATCTTTTATTTTCGACGTTTAAACATATCTATGACTTCGAGGTTACATCTATGGGAGTTTATATATATATATATATATTTGAAAAATTGACAAACGATCGAACAAACCTATCGATGAATAATAAATTTGTTCTGTAAATATATTATGAGTTGTTTTCTTGCTCGAAAGATTACGAGAAACGTATTGCATCGTAATAATATGTTCATTTATTTTTCTTCATTCATAAGACGTTATTGTATATATATTATTTATAACCTTGAACGTTGACACCTCGCTTGTTTATTATTTGACTGTGTTTACGCGTTTAGAAAAGCGCGAATGGAACGCACGTTACACGCGAACGCGTACAAGGACATAGACCGAAAGTTATGCGTGACGAGAAGTAGTTTTACGCGTTAATAAATAATTCAAGGTATCCTTGAAAATTCCTTTATAAATACCGAACGTTCTTCTTTCGATAAAAATGGATAGTATAGAAAGTTATTTTTCTCTATGCAAGTATTTTA